TTAGTGAAAAAAAAAATAGCAATTCTGCAAGGGATTTCCTGCAGCTGATCTATCTGAACTCTATAAGAACTCAATATGTTGCAGACAGTCATATCACTTGATCAACAGACATTCTTAACACAAGAAAATCTTGGTAGATGGGTTGTCTGAGATTAGTGTGCGTTGTCTGATATCAGGAAATAATGGTAACTGCTAACAGCATCATTATTCATGTCTGCTGGAAATGAATGAAATACTCTGCTTCTTTACTGTGTTTCTGTAGCACAAACACTAGGCATACTGTTTTAGTATATACAGTGGATATAAAAAGTCCACACACCCCTGTTAAAATGTCAGGTTTCTGTGATGTAAAAAAATGAGACAAAGGTAAATAATGTCAGAACTTTTTCCATCTTTAACCACTTCCAGACCGGACACTTTTACCCCTTTCCTGACCAGGCCAATTTTCAGCTTTCAGCGCTATTACAATTTGAATGACAATTTCGCGGTCATGCAACACTGTACCCAAATGAATTTTTTACCTTTTTTTGAAACAGATAAAGCTTTATTTTGGAGGTATTTATTCACCGCTGGGATTTTAATTTTTGCTATGTAAATGAAAAAGTCCAAAAATGTTAGAGTTTTTTTTATAAAATTTTGCAAAGAAAAAATATTTTATCATAAATCTTTGCCAAAATGTATTCCGTTATCTTTTTAGTAAAAACAAAAAAATCCAAATTAGTTTATAACCAAAAATTATAATTTTTAAACTTTTATTTTTTTTACATTTTTTTTTTTTTTTTTTTTTTAACATACTGTCACCCTAGCAGTACAGTGTCACCATGGTGACACTGTACTACTTGTAGGGGGTGAAGATTTTTTTTTTTTTTTTTTTTTACACTGATTGCTTTTACACCCATATAGGATGAAAAAGCAATCATTTCTCTTTCTCTCTGTCTGCATTCTTGTACTCATTGAGAAGTATTGAGTGAGCTGTGATTGGTCACAGCTTGTCACATGGTACAAGGCTGTTGTGAATAGCCTTGTACCATGTGACCTCTGTGATCATTCACAGATTTCACAGGTAGTAAGCAATGATGTCACAAGTGACTTCTTGCTTACTACTTTGCATGTGATCACTGATTGGCCAGTCAGTGATCACATGACCGGGACCTCGTACAGAGGTCCCGTCCGACAATCGGTGTTTCACTGTGTCCAGAGGACACAGCGGGCACCGGAACGCGGTGCTGCGCGCTCCCAGGGAGCGCGCACAAGCAGGGTGCGGGGAGGTCGTTTATAAACGGCCACCCGACCCTGCACTGCCACCGTCCGGCCGTTTATATGCAACGGCCGGTCGGGAAGTGGTTAATGTGACCTATAAACTGTACAACTCAATTAAAAAACAAACTGAAATCTTTTAGAGGGGGGAGTAAACATTATTTTAGTTTTTAATGTGGTTGCATAAGTATGCACACCTTCTTATAAATGGGGATGTACCTGTGTTCGGAATTAAGAAATCACATTCAAAATCATGTTAAATAGGAGTCAGTACACAGATGCCATCATTTAAAGTGCCTCTGATTAACCCCAAATAAAGTTCAGCTGTTCTAGTAGGTCTTTCCTGACATTTTCTTAGTGGTCCACAGAGAGCTTCCAAAGCATCAGAGGGATCTCATAGTTAAAAGGTATCAGTCAGGAGAAGGGTACAAAAGAATTTCCAAGTTATTAGATATACCATGGAACACAGTGAAGATAGTCCTCATCAAGTGGAGCAAATATGGCGCAACAGTGACATTACCAAGAACTGTATGTCCCTCCAAAATTGATGAAAAGACAAGAAGAAAACTGGTCTGAGAGGCTGCCAAGATGCCTACAGCAACATTAAAGGAGCTGCAGGAATATCTGGCGAGTGCTTTTTTGTGTGGTACATGTGACAGCAATCTCCCATATTCTTCATATGTATGGGCTGTGGGGTAGAGTGGCAAGACGGAAGCCTTTTCTTACGAAGAAAATTATCCAAGCCCGGCAACATTTTTCAAAAACACATCTGAAGTCTCCCAAAAGCATGTGGGAAAATGTGTTCTGGTCTGATGAAACCAAGGTTGACCTTTTTGGCCATAATTCAAAAAGATATGTTTGGCGCAAAAACAGCACTGCACATCACCAAAAGAACACCATACCCACAGTGAAGCATGGTGGTGGCAGCATCATGCTTTGGGGCTGTTTTTCTTCAGCTGGAACTGGGGCCTTAGTCACGGTTGAGGGAATTATGAACAGTTCCAAATACCAAGTCAATATTAGCACAAAACCTTTAGGCTTCTGCTAGAAAGCTGAATATAAAGAGGAACTACATCTTTCAGCATGACAACAACCGAAAGCATACATCCAAATCAACAATGGAATGGCTTCACCAGAAGAAGATGAAAGTTTTGGAATAGCTCAGCTAGAGCCCATACCTGAATCCGATGGAAAATCTTTGGGGTGGTCTGAAGAGGGCTGTGCACAGAAGATGCCCTCGCATTCTGACAGATTTGGAGTGTTTTTTTGCAAGGAAGAGTAGGCAAATATTGCCAAGTCAAGATGTGCCATGCTGATAGACTCATACCCAAAAAGACTGAGTGCTGGAATCAAATCCAAAGGTGCTTCAACAACGTATTCGTTTAAGGGTGTGCACACTTATGCAACCATATTGTTTTTATTTTTTTATCTTTACTTTCTTCCACCTAACAGATTTCAGTTTGTTGTTCAACTGAGTTGTACAGTTTATAGGTTACATTAAAGGTGGAAAACGTTCTGAAATGGTTTTCTTTGTCTCATTTTTTTACATCATAGAAACCTGACATTTTAACAGGGGTGTGTAGACTTTTTATATCCATTGTATATGTTAGAAATAAGGAAAACCGTAAAACGCTTTAAGTAGAATTGTTACCAAATCTTTCTGATTTATTTTAAAGGATAAGTTCACCTTTGGGGAACATGTTACTTGTTCCATCCATTTTTAGGGTGGAACATGCAACATGTTCCCGCTCCTGCAGAAGCTTCACTCCCCACCCCACCCCACCTGTGACATCAGGCAGGGGATCTTCTCCCTGGATCAGCTTTAACTATTTGAAAAGAGCATGGTCATGCAGGGCTCTGCCCAGGTCAGGTCATTCATTCATTGAGCTCTGTGAATGAATGAACTGCAGGTACCAACAGCCTTTATGGATAACGGCTTGTAGTTCTGAATGAACTACCAGGGTGCAGTTGAGCACTCTAGGTAGTTCGTTGAATCTTCCTGTCATTGTGTAACTGCCCATTTTAGGTATGCGCAAACAGCTTGCACTGATAATCTGCAGGAGCACTACATGGCACCAGCGATCTGCTGATCATGGGTGCAATGCTTTCCAGGCTCCTGCAAAGAAAAATAGTAAATGCACATTTTTTTTTTTTTTACCTGCTAAATAAAACCAAAAAGTGCATTTGTTATATTTTTTTTAAAAGGTAAATTTATCCTTACTGTCTTGATTTGGAATGTGCTGTTTGGTAGAAGAAATGTCTCATTTAAAGTTTGAGATTGTAGTTCAAAATGAAGTCTGCTGTCCCACTATATTTATTGTCCTTTGCATCCAGTACCTCTCATCAACAAATTAAAGTGTTGCAGAGAATGAAACCTGCTGTGATTATGGTCCTATGTAGATAATAGTGTACTTCTCATCAACATTTGAGATTGAAATCTACATCCCTGCCATATTTAAGGTTATGTAGCTGAGAATGGGGCCTGCTGCTCCATTGTGGGTATGGGCTTGTATAACCATTAGTTTTCACCAAAATTTAGGATTGTATGTGATAAATTGTGCATGCCTCATGATGCTGTGCTACCATAGTTATGTTCCTATATACTCAATACTTGTAATGTTGTCCTATTATAGAAGTCCTTCCTCCATACTTTCATCCACAGGTATATGTAATTGCTGGCTGGTGTTCATGACTCCCATACTAAAAGCTGAAGGCCTCGTTCACACACCATACATGCAGAAAAACCGATGGAAACTGATGCGCTGATTCCACTTTCAGAAACATCAGTTTACATGCATGCTCCAATGTGCAGATTCCTGTGCAGAAAAAAATCTGCATGTGATGGTAGCATTGTGGTGTGAACAGGTCCCATAGAGAACAATAGGTTTTGTTCTGCCCTTGCAGAAAATGTGTCTACACCATGGTGTGAACGAGGCCTGAAAGAGAATCGCCTCTTTAAGGTGTAACCAGTTTTATGCCTGTCTTCTTTATAGACTGGCACTAGAGGGGTAAATAGCAATCAAATATTAACTTCACCCAGGAAGTCAGTACTTGACAGCTAGGATACTTGGGGTACACGAAGATGTGTTTTTTCATCTTTAAACCCCAACCAGGCCTCTTTTGGACAGTGAGTAGAAGGTTTAGGAACTAAAAGAGAAATGCAGCCAAAATGGACACAAACAGCAACAAATCTATTTTCTTTTTTGAAAAGAGTAAAGGTTTGTTTTGCTGTTGGTGTTTCACCCGTTCCTGTATTATCTATTTCCCCTTATTTCTTGTCCTATGTCTCATGGACAGAGGGAAAGATAATCTCCTCAATGGTAAAAAGATGACCATGAAATCCTGGCAAAAGTTCTCATCTATTTTTACTCTGTCCCAAACCAAAAAAGACTTTTGACTGCAGTTGGGTTGTTATTTTCTTACTCGTGTGTAGAGAAGGCCAAATAAAATTATGCCTAGTGGGGAGTTCTGTCAGAACTTTACTCAAAGGCACAAAGTTGGGCCCATTTCTTATCATTTTTAAAAAAAAGGCAAAGCATGATTACCATTTTGTGGTTTTAAATGTTCATGACATCACTGCTGGAAACCGGCATGATTTCACCATAGTTTACATTACCCAAAGTAAATGAAAGTGTTACTAAACCCACAACAGTAAAATCAGCCTATATATGCAATAAAGCGTAATTGTTATACTCACTGTGGAACCTAAGGGGTTAATCCTCTGCATTGTGTAAAAAGGCTCT